GCATAAGAAATATTTAAAGGTATTCAGGATATTAATATATGAATGTTAAATATACAGGTATTGTTTTAAACTCAAACTATAATCAATTGGGTAATTGCTTATTTGCTTGCAAGAAGTTGGTAATTTTATAGACAGGATGCATGAAAAAATTTAATATACATTTTGTCAATTAAAAACAATTTTTTTTCAGTCAATTATAATTATAAGGTCTGTACTACTATTAATTGAAGAAACTTAGATTTATTTTTATAAAAAATTAGACGAGAATTACTTAATTTACGAAAATAATATAATGTAGAAACATTATTAGGTATAATATGTTAATTTGGAATTGGGGTAGAGCTAATATATTAATAATTTTCTCAAGATTACATCATTATTATACCTTCTTCTGTCTATAAATCTATAATCTATACTAATGCTTAAAGAGAGGAGAAGTTTTTGGAAATAAATTTTCACGAAAGAAGACATTTTGGAAGGATGAGTTGTGATCCCTATACTATATGTGTCAATATATATATATATATGAACTTGCAACTTGTATATATTTAACTATTTAAGTCTGTTTTATACAAAACTCTAAATATTAAACTAGAGCGAAAAAATGCTTAAATTTTTAGCAGTCTATCTACTCTAATCAGAAATCACTACATAACCTTATATAATGTAAGTACTTATTGCATATTACAGATTACAGCATTAGTAATATTGTCAATATTGGTGTATTACCTAATGGATAATACCTATATTTGCTATTATAGCTATAGGTGTAACATACATTTTGAAGGAAATACAAGTTCTAGTTTGTTAGTATACCATTACCACAGCTTTTTAATTAGCCATTGACCATTGTCCGTTGCCTACCAACTGTAATGTGTCTGCAGTGTTCTGTTTAGTGTGTACAACTCAGTACAAGTATTAAACAAATTGCTATTAGGGGCACCGCAATTAATCTACGGCTCATAATAAATGTAAACAATTGTTTTTCAAAAATTCGTAAAATGAGTACCTATTTGTTGTCATGTCTTTTATGGTATTCATAGCAGAGTGACTATATATGGTCCAAAACAGGGCATCGAGGAAAAAAAAGTTTGGAAACCGCTGTTATATATGTATACTAACGATTTTTTAAAT